ACTTCTGAGCATTTTGTCTTCTCCTAAGTCTCTGGTAGCTTTTCCATCTCACTAAAAGTGTGTCTATTGGGGAGGAGGAAGAATATTATGAAGTGGAAGCCAGTCCAGAGTCGGGTCAGAGGTCTGAATGGTGATCCGAAGGGCCGGCTAGCTGAGACAGGCCCACGGCAGCCTCACCCAGTCTTCCTCATGTGACAGTCCTGTGTAAACCATCAAGTCTGATAAAAATATAAATGCACACTCAAGTCTGATACAAATATAAATACACACACACACACACACACACACACACACACACACAGAGTGCCTACTATGACGCTTCTTTATGTTCTAAGAGCCTAGTCCCTGCCGGTGTGGGGGAGGTTGAAAGAACCCTTGGGAAATGAATATGAAGAAAGAATTCCATTGTTCTAAATGCAGCATGAAAAAAGGAAGAAACAGGGTGAAAACAGGGAGGTCAAAACCAAGCATGCTCCTTCCTCTGGTTGGTAACTAGTGGAGGGCTGGGGGTGGGTGGGAGCAGGTCTGGGGCAGGAGCTTCAGCCCCCTGAGGGCTGGCAGAGCTCCCCGTCATTAGCGGCTACTTAGCGCTTCATTTTGAAGACTTAGCAGCCCGAAGGTGCCAGGTTCCACTCCTCAAGGGCACCCCAGAACTCTCAAGGGGTTTGAAAGGGCTAACCCTAACAGATAGACCACTCTTCATAGACTTACTTCATAATTTTTCATATAATGTAATCCAACCCACCCAGAGTCAGCATCTCGTATTTCAATCTTTAAGAGAAACAGGCGAAATGACGCCTGTGAGTTATTTAGTAGCCAGTGTAATTCAGTGGCCAACAGAAAACAAGTCCCATCCAGGCATCTCAAAACACCTTACTGCAATTCCTCAACAGCCTCCTTGTCCCTAAACCACATTGCTTCGAAATCAGATGTAGACTGAGTAGTCTAAAAGTAATTAATATAGACGCCCATAGTCTTAGTGCGTCTCTATTAATTCTCCACTGTGCATTTACAAGTGAGGTAGAAAGAAGACTTCACCCACACCAAATGCATTTTCCCACCCATTTTTCCATTCTTACATAAGAAGACGTCCTTTCAGAATGAAGACTTTATTTACGTTTCCACAAAGAGAAAGATGGTTTTGGCACTAAGTGTGAATGCATATTCCAAGCAGAGTGAGGAGTATAGGAACATCCTGGATTTTTAAATCCTCCTCACCTTTGGATTCAGGTTTTAATCCCTTAACATTTTTCTGTGTTATGTGTTAGAAAAATCGGGGTAGCACAGAGCACAGTAAGGCAGATATTTGTGTTTAACGTGGGGATTAATCATGATATCTACATTTTTTATTTTTGTTTGTTTGGTTTTGTTTTTCCTATAGAACACAGAGGGAGAGGGACCAGCAGTAAGTGTAATGACTATGTCACTGGACTCCCATGTAGTCGACCGCGGTTCAAGTCCCAGACACGGCGGCTTAATTTCACGCTGGGTGTGTGTGCGTGCGTGCCCAAGATCCTGAGAGGAGAATGGAGGAGAAGGGATTGCGGCATGGCCATCCCCCCTCAGGGGGTGATTTCTCGATTTCTGTCTCTCTGTCTCTATCTTTCTGGCGAGCGCATGCGCCCTGTAGCAAAAACCTCTCAAAAGTAAATAAATAAATAAAATAACACACATACACAGAGGGAGAGAAAGAGAGCATGAGAGAGAAATGACCCCCGAAGGGGTTATAGCCACACTGAATACCCTTCTGCCATTCTCCTCTCGGGATTATGGGCATGCTAGCGCACACCACTGGCTGTTTATCAAGCTTCCAGGTCCAGGACTCGAAACTCAGTCAGCCATGTGGAATTCAGCTGCCCCAACCTCTAAGCCACCTGCTGGCCCTATAGGTTCACTTTTTTTTTGGGGGGGAGGGATTGGGATTTAAGGGTTATTTATTTAATTTTATTTATTCATTTTATTTATTTATTTTAATTGACCAGAGAAAGACAAAGAGAGAGAGAGGGGGAAAGTAAGAATGCAAGCCACCAGGCCCAGGACTCAAACCATGGTTAAACCTGTGGGAGTGGCCAGCACTTTAACCACCACACCATCTGCTGGCTCCTGGGTCATTTTAAATCAACTCTGGCAGGCAGTGTGGGCTCAACCTAGGGCAGAGTTTTGTGCAGGAAAATTCCCATTTCCAGTCTCTGTCAGAAGAGGCCCAGGCCTTTCCCAAGAGGAATGTGCAACCATCAGCGGAAACTCAATAAAGAGGGATTTCTCCCACTTTCTCCTCTTTTTGATCTTTCTAGTTTGCTTTTAAAATGCATGTTGGGATTATTGGGGAAGGGTTCAGGAGCTATTGGAGAGGTCCTTTGGTTCCAGGGAAACTTGCAGGGCCCAGGCCTAGGCTGCAGCTAGGCCAGGTAGATCTGGCTGGGGTGGGGGGTAGCTCGTCCTTAAGGAGATTTAAAGAGGCTTCAGTGGGCATTTGCTGATGCGTCTTGGTTGCCGCTGTCTCTGCCTAGGCTGTTTTTCCATGCTCCTAAAAGACTTTTTCCAAGGTGCAAAATGATCGTTGCCACAGGTGCTCAGTCAACCAGGGAGGCCCCGGTCCAGGGAAAACAACCCAGGAGGGCTGCGGGGTGAGGAACAATGCGCAGTGGTGGGAGGGGGAGCGGCTCTGCTGGGAGCACGTGGGCCGTGGAGCTTGGATGGCGGGAACCAGGTCCACATCCCGGGCACTGGGAAGGGTGAACCTGGCTGGGGGGGTGTAGGGTCAAGTCACGCTCACAGCCAGGCAGAAGAAAGAGTAAGAATTAAGAGAGACAGGCCTTCTAGACCAGGCTACTGCGCCTGCGCCGCCAGCAGCAGCCTCACTGGGAAGCTGGTCCGAAACATAAACTCTGGATCCTCTTCATCAGAATCTGCCTCCCCGGAATAAGATCCCTAGGGGGGTTCCTATGCACAGAACGGTTTAAGGAGCAGTCCCAGGCCTGGCTAATTAGCCCTGTCCGGTGGGTCACCTTGCTGTAACAAGGGACGCCTCCCTGGAGCTCATTTTTCAGGAAGCTCCACAATTTTGCCTCTGAAAATACTTGCAGATATAAAATCAATGAAGAGCTAACACAGACAGGCACAGCTCACATTTCAGAGCTGTGGTCACCGTAGGCCAGGCTCAAGCATTCTCATCCAGCAGCCAGACTTCAGCTAGCTCCATCCTTCTTCCTCTGCCAAGCCAGACGCCCCTACCATCCCCTGCTGGACCGCCCATAGACGGAGAAATTGCAAAGGGAGGAGTGCAAGACCCGGCTGGCTGTGGTCACCAAGCTCCCTGTGAGGACTGAGCCCTGGGTTTTCCGATTGGTTCTGGGTCCAAACAGGCAGAACATTTTCCTTGGGTTTTTGTCCATCTCTGCTAGCCCATAGGCTATTATTGGGTTTTTTTTTGGAGAGGTTTTTGCTATAGGACGCGCGCTTGCCAGACAGACAGAGAGACAGAGAGACAGAAAGCGAGAAATCACCCGCCAGGGGGGATGGCCATGCCACAATCCCTTCTGCTCCGTTCTCCTCTCGGGATCTTAGGCATACACGCACACGCACCCGTCATGAGCTTAAGTCACTGGTTCCGGGACTCAGACCGCGGTCAACTACATGGGACTCCCTAGATTATTTTTGTATGGCGAAATGTAGACTCTGCCTTTGGGATGGGATTCTTGACACATGGAAATTTCTGGGTCATGGCTGGAAGGAGTCTTGGAAACAGAAAGAGGCTAGAACCTGGGACTGAAAAAGGAAGCGAAAGACAGAAACAGGTATCTGTGTCAGCACGCGGCTTTGCCTGCATCACCTCTGGGATATAGCAAGTGCTCATTCAAAACTGGGGGGAAGGGGCAGGTGGTGTGTTGGTTAAGGGCACTGGACTCCCACATGGTCAACCACGGTTCGGCTCCAAGGCCTGGTGACTTACTTTCTCACTTTCTCTCCCTCCCTCTCTCCCTCCCTCTCTCTCTCACTCTGTCCCTGACTGGTCAAATTAAAATTAATAAATAAATAAAGTTAAATAAAATAATTCTTTCAAAAATTATTGGGGGCCAGCAGATGGCATGATGGTTAAGGGGGCTGGATCCCACATGACTGACTCCGCAGTTCGAGTCCCAGACTCAGCAGCTTGAAAAACACACCAGGTACATGTGTGCATGCCCCAAATCCCGAGACAAGGATGGAGGAGAAGGGACTCTGATGTGGTCATCCCTCTGGGAGGCGATTTCTCGTTTTCTCTTCCTCTCTGTCTCTCCCCAGTGAGCACACATGCCCTATGTTTTTTTTTTTTTAAAGCCACGTGGGCCAAAAATATATTACAGTCTGTGTATCACTTCGAGATGAAATTAAGGTGCCAACAGCTGCTTCGCAAGCACCAGACTTAAAAGCCAGGGTTTGTGACCTCTTTCTGATCGTCTCATCTCACGCATGCTCACCCTTTCATACCCGTTGGAAGTATATTTGTTGACCCGAGTAAGTAATCAGCAGCTTGGAGATCCAATGGAACCATTCCTAAACTCTCTCCCTGTGTGACACAAAGGGTTTCTAAGAAAGAATGCCCGGGGTCTGATTCTTCAGGCAGGCTGGTGGCCTCTTCACGACTCTTGTCCTTAATGAAGTTTACTCCTTGCCATTCTGACAGGAACAACTGAGATTTCTCCCAAGAATAACATCCAAATATATGAAACAGCTCCTGGGGCCACAAATGCAGATACATCTCATGTAAGCTTCCCTCAAAGAGGAGTTTGTCCTCCTTATTGATGCATCGTTATCACTATGAAAAGCTGCCATTTTTTATTTTTATCTCTCCCAGTTATTTTAATTACCTTCTTTTCTTTAAAACTTTTTTTTACTTAACTTTATTTATTATTATTATCATTATTATTTTCCAGTTTGATCCAGGAGAGACATAGCAAGAGAGAGAGAAAGAGAAAGTGAGAAAGCAAGCCACCAGGTCCGAGACTTGAACCGTGGTCAGCCATGTGGGAGTCCAGTGCCTTTAACCACCATGCCACTTGCTGCCCCCTTAATTACCTTCTATAATGGGCCCCTAAACCAGGAAAGTGCTAAAATCATGAGAATGGTGGACACAATGTTGAAACTCTGCCAGAAAAGTTGTCAAACCCCAGACCTTCATGGGCAGGTCACTGGCTTTCTTCCCAGACCTATAAAGCTGGGCATGGAATCAGCCACTTCCTCACCCAGTCACTGAGAAAGTCCATGGAATATGAACAACCCGTAACTAGAACCCAGCCTCCTCAACCACCATCCAATTCTGCGTGCATAAAGAAAAAGGTCTGTGTGTCAAATTCATCGTAAAACAGGTCTGGAGACAAGACTCCCTCCTCTCCCCATGCAGAGTGACTCTGCTGGAAAGTCACCACTTTTGATCACATGGAATTTTCGCTCTCCCTCAGCTCCCGAAAGGGCACAGTCCATCCTCGGATACTGAAAAGATAAAATAACATCAGTTATGTGGAACTCCAACTTTTTGTCACTTGGATCGATGGTTTCTCCAATCTGCTTTCAAAGATGATAACTGAGGGACGATTTGCACCCCTCCTTTTTTGTTTGTTTGGCTTTTTGTCCAAATTTCCTTAACATCAGATCTAATATCCTCATTACATGTTTCACCATAAAATAATAAAAAGAATGCAATGAGAAGATAATCATGATATCAAATGATACTGCAGAAAAACATAGATTAAAGATACGATTCTATCACTCAAACATAATCAGGGCTGTTAGTGTCCTATTTAATTCACTTTTATCATCCTGAGAACTTTGGATTCCACCATTTCCTGGGGATCTTGCATAGGGGAGGTAGCTTGGAGGGAATTGCATTGTGTATTCGCCCTAAAATGTGCTATCTTGCCTCCACCCCACTTTCCACAGCAACTTCCTGTGCTTTTGCAGAAGCCTGGAGTGATGGGCTGTATCTTTTCTTCAATCAACTATCCTTCGATAAGGCCTTTTTGGCTAATTATCTTTTCATTTACCCTTCTCATAAATAGTGTTTTGATTATCAGAGAACTACTAGTGTTCGAACATGTGTTCAGTGCCAAGTAGACACCTTGAGATGGCTTGAAGTTTGGAATACATTCAAAAATAACAACCCACCCACAGAAAATGAAAGGTGTCTGTACCCTCTCGCACACTGACTGTGCACCTTCTCTTCATTTAGATGTGGGGTTGGCCCAGAGAATTCCACCCTGTGAATAAGGAGAGTGTGAGTGTCAGATCTTTTTTACCAACTAAAAAGTCTCTTTGAAAGTAAAATGTATGTTCCCACAAGACTCTGTTCAGTCCCCTTTTCATCTGCTTGGCACTTCCTCTCCCCTGCAGCTCTGCGGGAATATGCCCTAACAGGGCGGGGAACTTTGAGCTGGCCCTTTACTGGGTATTGATTCTCCCAAGGGCTTTAGGAACTGATGTATTGATTAGCCTCCAGGTATTTTAGCTTTTCCCCTTTGGCATTTTGCTGGTTATTGCTTAGTAAAGTTGCATTCTGTGTACTGGTATTTCCTCCAGCACTGGCTCGTTTTTTATGGCAAGGAGAGCTCCAGGGAGGAGTTGTGGGGGGACCTAGCGTCTTTGACCAGGGAGAGGAGTAGAGGCCCAGTTTTGAACCTCCTTTCCAACTAGAGCAAACGTCCAGGACAAAGACGCCTGCAAACCCCGCACAGTCGCTGGTTGTCAGCAGCTGCAAAACAGAAACGGGGCTGGACTGAACGAAAAGGAAGGAGAAAGAGGAAACAGGGGAAGGAGCGTTGTGTAGGTCTCAGCCTCCGGTGAGGTTTAAACCAAAGGGGAGCAGGGCAAACATCTATTTGCAGCCCGAGTTCCCCCGCGAACTTTTTCCTGGAGAGAAGCTCCGGAGCAATTCACAGCATTCCAGAAGGAGGCTCGGGTGCCAGCGTTCTGAATGCACCTTTAGAAACCGAAGCTCCGGGAAGGGCGGGGAGCGCCGCAGAAGGAGTGCCTGCAAGCCCGCGGTGCTGGGAAAGGAAAGAGAGCTCGAGGTTGTTAGGCGGTCCCAGCCTCCTTCGTGCCCGGTTCTCTGCTGTCTAAAGCGAATTGTTCCTTCTGAGTCTGAGCGCGGGGCAGGCCCGGGACTGGTAGCTCCGGGACTTCAGGAGACGTCAAAGGCAACCCGAGCTCTCGGAGCCTCCAGAGCGGGCAGGAGGCCAGTTTGGGCTTGCGCAGAATTTCGGGGGTCTCCAAAGAAAGGCAGGTCCCCGGAAGCGTTTTAGAGATGACTCCAGGGGCAGAAACGGGAGCCCGGGGGTCGGAATTGCGGACTTAGGAGCGCAAGGGTAAATGGGCAGACGCGAATCGCTCGCACTGGCCTCGAGGCCGACAGGGGGCGCCCAGTCACCGTGCAAGTGGGTTCAGAGAGCACCCGGGTGTCCTCGGATCCCCGCCACTTACTGAGTTGGGGTTGGAGGGTAGCAGTCCCTCCTTCTACAGAGCTCTCCTCCTGGTCCTGCTGGTGCTTTCTGCTCCTGGAATAATTTCTAAGAGCAGTTTTCAACCAGAAACCAAAACAGCACGGTAAGTGGGCACGCACCTAAGCCCACGAACACGCACAACACACGCACAGACTCGGGAACCCAGAACGCGCTTGCGAGCTCGCCGCCCTACGCACAGCAGAAAGCTGCCAGCCTGTCGTTCCGCGGGTCTGCGTCTGTTGGGGCGTTTCTTTTCTACTGAGCGAGAAGTGGCGGGTGAGGAAGAGGGACTGCCGGTTTGTTTGTGGGTGTGTGTGTGATGGTGGGGGCGGGGTGCGTTTCTCCCCTGGCCTCCGCAGGAAGCTTTCAAAAACAGACCACTCCTCTTTTAAACTCTGGAGCGCACCACTTTCCTAAGCCCTCCGGAGAGTAGCGACGCTGTTTCCACCCTTGCTCTGGGGGGGACCTGGTGGCAGATGCCGGGGATCTGGCCTCTCGCGCTACTCGGCGCACCACTCTACGTTCACTACGTGCGCCTACGCACATTGCACGGCTCCCGGACGCACCGGGAGGGTCTGGCCCTCCTGGGAGCCTTCGCACTCCGGGGTCGCCGCGCCCCGCGGACGTTGGCTTTGGAGGATTCACGTCCTCGCTGCTGGGACCGTCGAAGCCAGTCCCGTTTTGGCAGCAAAGGGCTCGGCTTGTGGCTCGGTCCTGTGTTCCAAACGCTGCAACCCCGACTGGCCTGGGTTTGAGGGAGTCGTCCCGGCATCTGCGTCTCCCTCGGGCGCGCCTCGGCTCACAGCGCTCGGCCCCTGCTGCCACGTCTCCCGCCTCGCGCCACCGCAACCCCCACCTCTGAACAGGTGGGCTGGGCGCCCAATCTTTCCTATTTTTATTCTCTGCCTCTAAGGGGGAGAGTGAAAGCTGGATCCCCACTGTCAAGCCAGGTTTTCTGAACCAAAACAGAGCTTCCACGTTCAAACACCCGTAGTACCCGCCCCCCCCACACACACACTTACACTTCTGCCCCAAATCTGGGCTCATGGAGATCTCGCTGGAGTGAGACCCGGCGGGAGACAGGGAACAGGTTGGAACCCCAAGGGTGGAGGGGAAATAGAAGAGTGTACGGTGTGCAGTTCAGAGGACAGAGACCCCCCCCTGCGGTGGATTCCTCGTGCCCCGTTATTGATTGCTTTATCCTCCCCCCTCCCTCCATCTCCTGCCCTATTTGTTTTAGTTACGAAATGCTGTGGGCACCTCGGTCTGGAAAGTAACCTTGAAACACGCGGGCCTGAATGTCAGAGACTAATCACAGCCTCCCCGCCGTCGGCTGAGGCTAGGCGGGCAGCACGCGTCCCACGGCCGGCGTCCCGGGTGAGTCGCGGGAGGCTGGGCTCGAAGGAGGCGGAAAGCCGAGGCGGCCGGACCGTGCGCACCCGCGTGCCTGCCAGGGCCGCCCCGGCTCTGAACTGTGACGGGGAGGGGCCTCCCAGGAGCAGCAGCCGGCGAGTTAAAGGTGTGTACACAGTTTTTCTAAATACGACAGCGCTTTGCGAATTGGCTCTGCCACCGCTTGTTGTTTTGACAGAGAGCATTGCCAGGGAGGAAGCCCGGCATAAATAAGTCTTGCTTTAGCAAGGCTGTGCGGGGCACGGAGGCGGACGCGCCCTCGGACCGACTCACCCGCGCCCGGCGCTATGGGAACGGGTCAGGGCCAAAGCCCTGAGCCGCTCCGGGGGGTGGGCTCCTCCTGGGCCTCTCTCCCACCCGGCACTCGACCAGAACACCTGAGCGCCCTCGCCT